TGGTGCTCAGCCCAGTACTCTCCTCTTGCACAGTGTGGTTACAAATATTTACAGAGCACAGCAATCCAGGTGCTTTCCTAGTGCTCAGGGTGTCCAACACGTGCATTCTTGGTCCGTCTTCAGGCCGGGAGTTGTTGTGACAAAGCAGAGATTTGTGATGTCTCAGCATCATTTTTTATTCCATCCCTTTGAAGGCACTCTGGTTGCAGCTCTCTGCCCAGGGAAGTGCTTTTATCACACGATCACTTCTTCTGAGAACAGTTTTGCTGAACGGGACTTTCAGCTATGCACAGCCTTCCTGGGCTCCCCCTGGGACACACAGTCATCTTCCAGCTGGATTACAGTGCATCTCCACAAAGGATTACATTTCCTGGAGGCAGCGTAGCTGTCCCTTGGCCTCGTGTTTTCTGCAGGGCTCCAGTTGGGATGGAGACCAAGAGGCCGCAGTGTGAAAAGGGAATTAGAGGGAATGGCTGGTTTCTTTCACAGATGTCCTGTCTCATCTCCTGACTCTGCTTACACAGCGGTACTTGCTGAGTGTAGGTCTTGCAGCTATGGCTGTGTGGCTTGGCATGTTTGGGGAGGCCAGAGCGGGGTCAGGAAACCACGTGAGACTTCAGTAAATGAGTTAGATGATTCAAAGGAGAAAAATAGGCTTTAGCCTTGCTGCCTGGGGATCTTGCCCGCAGTAAGCTCATGCAGTCACTTGAACGAACCCGACCACAACCCTTCATGTCTGCAGCTCCTGGGGAAGCACTGTCCTTGTGTGGGCAAGTTCACACGGGGCCAGAGTTCCTGTGCTGTGTTAGAGAGCATGTGGGATCCTCCCTGCTTGCTTCCTGTCCCCTGCTGAAGGGCCCTGTGGGGCAGTGGATGAAGCTGTGCAGCAGAGTGCTCATCTGCCCTCTCTCTTCCAGGCTTACCTGGAGTCCTTCTACAAGTTCTGCAAGACGCTGGGAGGTACCACGGCAGACGCCATGTGCCCAATCCTGGAGGTAGGTCTGGGAACTCCCACAGCTGGAGTGGTATTGCAGGGATGTTCTCTGCTCTCTGCTCAGGCCCAGCTTGCCTGCCAGCATTAACGATGCTCAGGATACTCTTCATCAACCCCGTGCCCACTCTGCCTGCTCACTGGGAGACCTGGGGAACACTACCTGCACATACCTTTGGTCCCCCAGTCCTGATCTTGCCAGCTGCTGACTCATCTGTTGCCTTTGTGGCAACATCTTCATCCTCTCCCGTGGATAACGAGCAGGAGAGCAGCCAGAGCTGTTCAGGGCACAGCCTGTCTCCACGCCAAGGCTTGCTGTGGGATGTGCAGGGCTCAGGAGCAGTGGGTGAAACACACTCCTTGACTTGGGCAGGATTTGGCTTGTGCCTGGGATGGGGATTTCCTAACCTGACTGCTCCCCAGGCATCATCTACCGGGCATACTGGGATCCTGCATGTGTAGCCTGCCCTGGCTGAGCCCTGGAGAGCTGTGCACATCCTGGCAGGCTCCTGGTGCTGCCCTCTGACGTGGCTCTGTGCAGAGCAGCTGTGGTACCTGCTGGCCTCTGGTAAGGATGCTGCATCCCAAGGTGATCCTCTCTCTCTTGCCCCGCAGTTTGAAGCTGACCGGAGAGCCTTCATTATCACCATCAACTCCTTCGGGACTGAGCTGTCCAAGGAGGACCGAGCCAAGCTGTTCCCACACTGTGGCAAGCTCTACCCCGAGGGCCTGGCTCAGCTGGCCAGGGCAGATGACTACGAGCAAGTCAAAAACGTTGCTGACTACTACCCTGTGAGTGCTCTGGGGTGAGGGCCATGGGGACTGGTACAAGGATCTGCTCTGGGTCAGAGCTTCTCAGGGATCTGGGGGAACTTGTGGGTTGACAGCCTGGGGAGAGGGGTGCCTGTCTTCTGCTACTGCTGTTGGTCCTGTGCTTGGCCAAGTTGGACTTGGCTTTCCTGGTACGCCGTTGGCTTGTCAGTCATGGCTGTCATTCCAGTGGTGACTGGGAGACTGTGCCCTGTCCCAGGGTGTGGGGACTGCCCTCACCACCAAACCCTTGAGGTGTTGGTGTGGCAGCAATGACAGGCTCTCCTTGCCTGGTTTGGGAGTGGAAATGTGTCTTCAACAAGAAGTGGTGTGCCCCGTCTCCAGCCCTGAGCTCTGCTTCGGTCGCAGGGGAGACTCTGACCTGGGAGCACATGCTTGGACGTGTCTGTGTTCCTCAAGCTGCCCTTGTGCAGGCTGGGGACCTGTTTGGAGTCAGAAAGCTCAGTGTCCCCTTCTTGAGCAGCCAGGGCATGTGCCAGTGTGTGTGGGCACAGGGGCCTGGCCCAGGCACTCCAGTCTGTACATGGAGGGGCTGCACCTGGTGCCCCCTTCCTGCAGGCTCTAAGTGACGATATGGCTTCTTCAAAGGACTCTTGGCTTCCCTGTCCTCTGCTGACTTGGCAGGATGGCCTGTCTGACAAAAGGGGCCCCCAAGTGCTGCTGGGCTCGGGTATGGGATATATCCTCATGTAATGCCTTCCTGCAGGAGTACAAGCTGCTCTTTGAAGGGGCTGGCAGCAACCCTGGGGACAAAACCCTTGAAGACCGGTTCTTTGAGCACGAGGTGAGTGGCACCCGAGGTGCTTCTTGGCATGTGCCATTTGCAGAGCTCAGGGTGGCAGCAAGCTGGTGTGCTGCCCTGTTAGCAGTGCTGTGGATGAACGTGGTTTGGGGGAAGGAGAACACGCTTGCCCTCTGCTCCTGCTCGGGAATGGGGGCCCAGCATGCTCGGAACATTTTCTCACCCAGAAAGATTAGAGCACATTTGGGGACCGTGTGTGGATATATGGTCCATCGATCATAAAACCAGAGTGTAACTGCGTGGGAAAGGAAGATTTTCACGGTACCTGAGGGTAGAAATATTTCCCCCTTCAGTGTCAGAGCCTGTCCTGAGCCCTGTGCTGTAGGTTGGAGCTGTCCTGAGGACCTAGAGAGATGCAGAGCAGGATACCTGTGCTGAGCCTTCCAGCCTGCTAGGAAGTCATGGGCCCTCCCAAGCGGGTCCACGCTTGCCTTGACCAGCTCCTCCCATCTGAGGTGGACAAGTGACATCTCCTCCTTTGGGCTTTCCCCAGGTGAAGCTGAACAAGCTGGCCTTTCTCAACCAGTTCCACTTTGGAGTGTTCTACGCCTTTGTGAAGCTGAAGGAGCAGGAGTGCCGCAACATCGTGTGGATCGCAGAGTGCATCGCCCAGCGGCACCGGACCAAGATCGACAACTACATTCCCATCTTCTAACCCTGCTCTGCTCCTGCCCGACCCTCCCACCCCTGGAGTCCGGAGGGACCCCCGTCTAACTCCCTGAGTTGTCCCTTGCCCAGACTCCAGGGATGTCCCACCTGTGGAACTGGATCAGATGAGGAAACTGTATAGTTGCTAGTTAAATTATTCACGAGCTGAAGTGTGAGTTGTGTGTGCTGTGAGGCGTCCGGAGGGACCAGCGGCCCAGGGTTGGCCCCGTGCAGCAGGAGGGACACCTCCTGTTGTGTGTCCAGTGGTCCAAGTGTTCCTGTACTAATTGCTGTGTGCGCTTACGCTCACAGAGCGAGCATGAGCTGGGGTGGGGGCTGCCTCCAAGGGGGTCCCACTGCTGCAGAGGAACAGGGCAGGTCTGCCATGGCTGGGGGTCCTCTGTCGGTGCTCTGCACGCCTCCTGCTCAGTGTTGTTCCTGTGAGATGTAGTTTGAGTGTGGTTTGTAGCGTAGCCCGTGCTGCTGTGCAATCCCTGCATCCCCTTGTAGCTAACCCTGACCTGGGAGGGACTGAGCAGCCCTAGCCAAGGCTGGGACAGAGTCTGTGGGAACCTGAGGGCAGAGCCAGAGGGCTTGTGGAACACTCTCCTCCCACTCTGGCAGCGTTTGCGCTCGTGCAGCCTTGCTGTGTCTGCAGAAGCTGCTCTCATCAGTCTCCCTGCTGCCCTGCACAGGGTTCCTTCAGTTGGCTGAGCCTCTTCCTCCCCTGGAGACCCACAGCTCGCAGTTTACTGTCACAGCCACGCAAGAGCCAGGGCTCTTTGGGGCTCTGCAGATGCTGCTGGACCCCTGCACCTCCTCAGGGCAGACACCCAGGCTCCTCACCTGTGGAGGGCAGGCTGGCAGTGCCACGGAGCTGTACAGCACAGCTGGCCATGGGACAGAGCAGCCCTTGGTCACCCTGGTGAGGGCAGATGTGTCCCAGGCCCTGCCTGTGCATGGCCTGGGGTGGGAGCCAAGCCCTAGGCATGGTGTGGCAGCCCTGTTCTCGCTGCTCTGTCCTGGCTAGCTCCTACTTGCACTCAAGCTCTGGGAGATGTGCTGTGGCAGCAGAGGAACCTTGCTGGTGGGAAACACGCTGGATGCTGCTGTGGGGAGGGATCAGTGGAGAGCGGCTCTGTCCCAGCTTGTGCTGTGGTCACCTCTGCAGTTTGTTTTCCTGTGATCCCCTCCTCTCTACATCAATAAATATCTGCCTACTGCACTGTGCTCTCCTGCTTACTTGGGCACCTGCTCCCACAGCCCCAGGCAGAGCCTCCATCAGCCACAGGGCCTCTTCCCCAGGGAATCTGATATGTGTGGTAGCAGAGCGTGGTGTGGCTCCTGCATGACTTGGGGCACTTGTTTCTTCCACGGGCAAGGCAGGGCCCAGGGCAGTGCCTGGTCTGTGGGTGCAGCTAAAGGGGTGCCTGAGGGGTGCAACCTTAGGGAGCTGCATGGCTTGTCACCCTTCTTGGGGCTGTCACTCCTTCCATCCTTGCCCCAGCAGGACCACAGCGTTGGAGCCAAGCAAATGGAAGCCTTTGGGGTAGGAGCATGGAGTGGGCACGAGCCCTTCCTGGAAGATTGACCCATTTTCTGTGACTTCCACAGCTCATGCCACAGTGCCCAGCGTGGTGCCAGCCGTGGCCCAGCTGAGCTCTGCCCGCGGGCAGGGCATCCCTGACCAGCATCACAGCACTGCAGAAGGAGACAGCCAGAACCTGCTGGGAGTATCAAGAACGGCTTTATTTAAAAAGTGACAATCACGTGGTTCATCTCGTGAGGAGCTCTGCAGCGCTGGCAGCCCGGCCTCGGCCCCTGCGCTCGCCGGGAGCACGTGGAGTGTGTCATGAGTGGCAGGGAGGCAGCAGCCACAGGGTCCCAGCCCTGACCCAGCCAAGAGGAGACCAACAGCTCTGAGAGCAGTAAGGAAGATGGTGGGTGGCTGAGGAAACGCCCCAGGTGCAGCCCGGCCCATGGTGCGGAGCTGCCGAGTCAGGCAGGGACGGGCCCCTTGGAGGACGCACGGTTAGAAAAAATACAAAAAACCAAGGTCTCTAGAAAAACGTTGATTCTCGCACAATAGAAAATAGATCTACCTGATTTTGGAAAGGAATTTGGTTTTTAACGTCTAGTGCTGATTGTTCCCCCGCGGCGCCGGAGGGCGGTGCCCCTGGCTGTGTGTGCGCCCGGGGGGCTGCTGTGCCTGGAAATGCCGGGAGAGGCCTCGCCGGGCCCGGGTCAGGCCTTCTTCGCACCAGTGTGGTGCTCCCGCCGCAGCGCTCGGGGCAGCTTGGGGTTGATGAAGAATCCTTTCAGGAACAAGTCTCGGACAAAGTAGGGCAGGTAGCGGTGGATGAAATACATGAGCCCGAGGCCCTGCCCCGGGTAGTAGCGCACGGCTGGGTTGGCAGCCAGGAGCCCGTCCGTGATGCTGTTCACCACCGCGCTCAGGTCCTCCACCGCCACCTTCATGAACTGGATGAACTGGTGGTTGATCTCCTCCACGTAGTCCTCGCCGTACGCCTGCAGCAGCTCCTGGGGCAGGCTGGCCAACAGCTGCTGCTTCTGCAGGTTCCAGAAGGCCGGGTCGCACGTCGTCCCTGCAAGGACATGGTGTCCCCCCACCGTGAGCTGTGTGGCCCCTCCTCCTCCAGCCCCCCTGCATGGGGTGCCAGCAGCCCCAGTCACCTCCCAGCCTCCTGAGGAGGTCCTGCTGAAACTCTGGCGAAGATCTGCCACGAGGGAAGTGCAGTGGGAGCACTTGGACTCGACCAGAGGTCTCAGACTCTGCCTGCAGTGGGGATGGTGCTACCATAAATGTGGCTGAGCTGCTTCGACCAGCCCTGGTGCCACAGAATCTGCTGGCAGGACTCAATCCTGACCCTGTTTCCCATCCACCAGAGCCCAATGGCCACAGGATGGCCACTGTCCCCACAGAGATTGCTGGGGATGCTCAGAAGCCACATCCTGCACCACCAGCTGCTCATCCCACTGCTCCATCTCCTGCCTCCCTGGAATAGCTGCCCTTTGCCTGCGGGTGCAGGCAGGGAACAGAAACCCTCTCACCTGTTTTGTAGTAGCCGGGCAGGATGAGGCTGACCTTGACCCCCCAGGGCTGGAGCTCGCTGCGAAAGGTGTCCATGAGCAGGCTCAGGGCTGCCTTCGAGGCCCCGTAGGCTGCCAGGCAGGGGAAGGGCATGTCTCCTGGCACGAGGGAAGGGATCAGTGAGCAGCTGCTCAGGCAGGTGGCCTGGGGGCAGGCAGGGAGTGGGGACAGGGTGTGGGGTGGCTTGTGTAGGACTGTGCCCCCGCCCCTTGCACAGGGAGAGAGCTTAGGGTTTGATTTGCTGAGAAAACAACTGGAAGTAGATTCAAATTAATGTTTTAATGGGGGGGGGAAGTGGGGAGCAAAGAGGAAATTGGTTTTACCTCCCCATCCAACCAAAGCTTAAGGTCATCATCCCCAGTGGAGGATTAATGTATTTTAATGGGAAAAAAAAAATTTGGGGAAGGGGTGGAAGAGGAGGCTGGTTTTCCCACCCTGACCAGGGCTGTTGTCCGTGGTGGGGGTGTGTGGCAGCTAGGTTTGGGTTGCCTGTGCTGTCTGTAAGTGGGCTGCCTGTCCCCAGGCCCCCCAGAACCGCATTTCCCTGTGCCTGCTGTGGGGCTCAGCCATCCCACCAGCTCATCCTGCGGTGCCTGGTGCCGGTCTGATGCAGCTGGCTGGGAATGTGGAGGTGCCCAGGGGGTGGGAGCCACACCACACCACGGGGAGGCTGTTTAGGGGTGCCCAGGCCGGAGGGGGGCTGCTCACCTGCGGGGCTGCTGACGGTGACGATGCGGCCGCCGGCCGAGCGCAGCAGGGGCAGCAGCCCCTTGGTGAGCTCCAGGGAGCCAAAGAAATTCACCTCCATGCAGGCGCGGAACTTGCCCAGCGGCGAGAGCTCGGCGTCGGCGATGGTGTCGTTGAAGCCGGCGTTGTTCACCAGGCCCCAGAGCCCTGCGGGGATCGGGCACTTGAGAAGGTGACCTGAGTGGGGACCCCCACCCTGGGAATCCCAGCTGCTCCCCGGGCTCACGGGGGTCCCACAGGGGAATTGCAGGGTGCCCCAGGGCAAGGGCTTTCAGCAGAGGCTGTTGGCGCAGGTGCCCCCAGGGATGCAGCCCACGGTGGGGGCAGGTGGAAGCAAGCTGAGGTCCCAGGGAGCTGTGAGGGGTCCTGGGGGGCCGCCAAGGGCTCCTACCTGTGCTGTTGGTGTGGGCCTGGATGTGCTGCAGGACACGCTGGATGTCATCCGGCTTGGTCAGGTCCATCTGCAGCAGCGTCAGCCTGGCCGAGCAGCTCCGGCGCAGCTCCTGGGCACCGGCGCTCTGCAGGTCCAGCACGCTGGCGAACACCCGAAAGCCCATGGTGTCCAAGTGCCGGGCTGTCGCCTGCCCGAAGCCCGAGTCACATCCTGAAAGAGACAGGAGCCTTGCAGTGGCCACTGACAGCCACTGTCTGTCCCCAGCCCCCAGAGACCCCCTAGCTCTGCCCCTCCATCCCCGGGGACCAACCCCAGTATCAGTTCCCTGGGACAACCTCGGCTGGCACCCTCCTGCAGGTCCTGCCCCAGCAGGACGTGACCTTGCCCTGGGGCATTCGCAGGTCTCGGAGCTGCTGTTTTCTCTCCCTTGCGGAAGAAAACATTCCCTTATCTGCAACCCCATCGCCCCGAGCGCCTCCCTGATTGAAGGTGCAGGCAAACCCGCAGGCACCAGCAAGGCACCGGCACAGCCCAGAGCCCTGCAGCGCTGCGGGCTGGGAGCCATCAGCCCCCAAAATAGCCTCTGAAAGCTCCATCCAGCACCTTTCAGAGCTGGCATAAGGCTCCGTGGGAGATGCTGCCTTTTGCAGATTGCTTTTCGCCTCTCAGAAATAGTGACCAAGAGGCGGAGCACCCCCTCGCCTGGCTGGGGGATGAGGGGATTAAAAAGTGTGTGGGGAAAGGGATTTTGCTCTGCTCCTGCCACCCTGCATCCTTCAGGGGAGCATCTGACAGGGATGTCCCTCTCCGGAGGGCACTGGGTGCTGCATGCCCGGTCCCGGCCTCATTTCCTCCATCTCACCTCAAACAGGGGCACTGCAGGTGACATTGTCACCTGCAGAGCCACCATCGGGGTGGCTGGGGGACAGCCCGGGTGGGAGCTGGGTGTTGTGGGGCGGTGACAAGGCCGGTGGCCAGGGTGGAGTGGCCGGGATGCAAACAAACAGCGGCAGTAAGGTACAGGCTGTTCCCGGGGCCGATGGCAGAGCTGATAGCTCGGGGAGTCCGTGCCACAACCGCTGCCCAGGCACATTAACCATTAACAGGGCAGCGCTGCAGGGGCAGCCCCATGGCCCTGCACCCTCTGCCTGGCACCCTTGGGTGCTCCTTAGGACATGACTGAGAAGGGCCTCTGTGCAGGAGCCACCCTGGGATGGATGCAATGGTGGCCCTGGGGACTGTCACCCCACGAGGTCCCAGAACCCCTTCCACCAGCCTCAGGGGGGCACAGGGACTGGCTGCCCCGCAGCTTCCACAACCCCAGGGTGGGATCAGGGCACTTCCAGCTCTTCAGGTGCCAGCTAAGCCATCAGCTCAGGGGCTCTGGGCCGGTCCCCAGCTTTAAAGCTTTATTGCTGCGTCAGAAACCCATAATTAAGCCCCTGGCCAGAGGCCAGGTTGATAACACACCCCGGAGGTGCTCAGGAAGGGAGGAAGGGGCTGCAGGGACCTCCCTTTCCCACGAAACACCCAACATCCATCATGGATGAGCGCCAGGCTTAGCATCACCCCTGGCACTGCCCCCGCTTCACCCCCGACACCCCAGTGCCGCAGGGAATGCTGAATCCACCTCGCCTCTCCCCAGGAGCAGCTCGTGGTGCCAGCAGCCAAACAGATAAGGTGCATTTCACCTTTCCCAGAAGTGCAGGAGAAAACTCCAATAAAGATAAGGTTTAAAAATAAAAGTGCTCGTGGCCGCGGCCTCAGCATGACGCAGCTGACGGGGCACGGTTACCTGTGCTGCTCCCACGCAGCCAGCAAGGAAAGCTCCCAGTCCAAACATGAAGTTTCCTATCAGCAAATGAGCCTCAAAACCCTGGGAAACATCCCCAAAACCTGAGAGAGAGAGAGAGAGAGAGATTCTCCAGATCGTTCCGGGCAAGTCTGGCGAGGAGGGAGCAAACACGGGCCACGTGCTGTCCGAGCCAGGCAGGATTTGTTTTGCCTTAGAGGAGCGGGGCGGTCAGAGGGTTTGTTTCGGAAGTTCTAATTTATTCACACACACACAAAAAGAACTCCTGGGAGGCTGGCAGGAGGCCCGGGGCCAGGAGGGTGAGGATGCTCTGGTGTTATTTAAGGTCTCCGACGCCGCTCAGCTCCACATCTGCTGTGCTTAGGCCCAGCCAAGAGTGCAGGGAGGGACAATGAAACCCCCGGGCCCACAACACGTGGCCCCAGAGCATGGCAGCTCGCCCAGGGCCACGCTCACTCCCCATGGCCACCAGCACACGAGCTGCTGGCCACGCCGGAGCTGGCACGGGAGCCGTCACCGCTGGCTCGGCCCCGCCGGGATGGCTGGAGCCGGCCAGTCTGTGCGGCCCCGGCGAGGCTGGCGCTGGGCTCGCCGCCCTCCCGGGATGCTGCATCACGAGGAGATGCCGGCGCCAGTTCCTCCCGCCCCAGCTCCCAGCTCGCCAACTGGTTTTGCAGTTGTGCCGGCGGGAGGGACGCGGTCAGACCGAGCGCAGGAGAAGCCCCAGCGCAGGGAGCGCAGCAGAGGACAGCAGGTGCCTTGAAACCCCCCATGGCATCCCCACAGACCACGGGCCAGCAGAGAGAGGCTTTTGCTGCGGCAAGAGCAGAGCAGAGCCCGAGTCCAGTTTGCAAAATCCAGCTCGGCAAGCCGGGGCAAACTCCCGTACCAGGGGCCGGCCGGCGTTTGGCCGGAGCAGTGGGGTCAGCAGCGATTCCTGAGGACTTTGCAGAAGCTCCGGACACTGCAGCGGCTCCCCCAGGAGCGGGACACGCCGGCCTCCACCGGGACTTTGGCATGGCAAGCCCTGGCTTTACTTATCTTGAGCAAGCAGAAAAGTTCGGCCTCCAGCATTGCCATTGGAGTGCCCTCCCAGCCACGCGGGGAGGGCAAAGAGGACTGACCCCACGGCATCGTGCCCTTCTCTGGTGACAGCAGAGCCACCGCAGGGGTTGAGCTGGGCCAGCCTGGCAGCCCAGCCCGCCTGCACCGCCCGTGCTCTCTCGCCGACAGGAGCCGGCTGCAGCCGCAGTCCCGGTTTGGTGTGGACACGTTTCCTTCAGGTGAGTCGGGCACGGCCCCGCACTGATGTTTGGCTGTCTCAGTATTCACCCTGCTCCTGCACCAGCACCAAGGCCCCCAGGCGCAGGCACTGCTCCAAACCAGCACTGCAGTTCGCTGAGCGGAGCACAGACAGGCAATAACACGGCTACGGTCCGGGAGCTGCCAAACCAAACCACCCCCTGCCCCTGCCGGCACGGCACCCACGGAGGGCTGGTGGCACAGGTCTGCAGCGCTGCTCATCCCAGTGAAACATAGGAGTGGCTTCCTCTCCCAAGATGTGAGCTGTGAGTCCTCATCCCCGAGCCCTGAGCTGTGCAGCCTCATTCAGTCCCTGAGCTGTGGAAGTGCAGTCTGTGCACCTTAATCCCCGAGCTCCAAGCTGAGCATCCCCGAGCTCCAAGCTGAGCATCCCCGAGCTCCAAGCTGAGCATCCTCGAGCTCCAAGCTGAGCATCCTCGAGCTCCAAGCTGAGCATCCTCATCACCAAGCCACGCGCTGTGCACATCCTCACCCTCGGGCCACCAGCTGGGAATCCTCATCCCTGAGCCACACACAGTGGGAGAGGGCCAGGGAGACCTGCAAAAGCTCAGCAGTGCAAAGCACAGCTTGGCTGAAGAATTTCCCTGTGGCTGTGAAGCTGCCCAGAGCCTGGAGGGAGCCTGGGCACAGCAGCAGCTCCCTGGAGCTGCTCCTTCCACAGCCACCCCTCCTGGGACCCCAGTGTGGAAGCTGAAGAGAGATTGCTCCAGGGCTGAGCACTCCTGAGATGGAGCAGCTCCCCCAGGGTTGTCCTGGCAGCGTGGCCATCAGCAGCCCCAGGGGCTGCTCACCAGGCACCCATCATCCCCTCCCAGCTGTGCAGGCCATCGTCTGGGTGCCCCCTGCTGTTCCCCAAATCCCAGTTCATCAATCCCACCTCCCACGCAGAGCTTTAGGGCTGTGTGTCCCCCCACCCTGGCCAAGATGCCTCACCAAGATGGAGCTGTCACCATTGTCACCATCCTCCCAGCCCTGGGACGGTGCCAGGCTCAAGGACACCATCGACGGGAAGGGAGCTGGGGCGCCAAGGCCAAATGGATTGATGTGCTGAGCCTTGTTTCCGTAGGCTCAGGCTCAAATCCTGCCTGGGATGCCAAGCTAAACAGGGCCTTCTGGCCCTGACAGGATTCACCACCACCTTGGATCCACCTTCTCCGGGCACAGGATGGGATTTAGCCAGGCAACACCGCAGGGAGGCTCAGCTGGCCAGGGACTCATCCCAACTCAGCTACTGGATGTTCATCTCTGCTCCATCCTGGCACGGATGGGGAAGCCCAGGCTGAGGTGGCACCAAGCAGGGATGGTGCCACCAGAGGGGATGGCTGTTCCCAAAAGGGACTCAGGGAGGGGCTCCCTGCCCAGTGCAGGTCCAGGCAGGATGAAATGCCCAGCAGCATCGTGCGTGGGCAGGGCAAGGCCCTGTGGCCAACACCTCCCGGATGCCGCGCACATTTGGAGCAAGGAGCGATAAAGGGGTGATGTCAGCCCTGAGCGAGAGGGAACAAATTCTTGGCAGGGCACAGGAGAGGTAGGGAGGGGAAGTCAGGAGCACTTGTGCCCACAGCAGCTGAGCCACCATGGCCACCCACTGGCCACAGCCTCCCCGGCCACCACCTCCCACAGCCAAGGTCCTGCCAGGGGAGTGGGACTGGGCAGGGGCACCCACAGCCCCTCACCCATCTCAGCCAGTGATGTCACTGTCCACAGGAACCCCCACCGCAGCCAGTGATGTCACTGTCCGCAGGAACCTCCACCCCAGCCAGTGGCTCTCACGACATTCCATGTCCCCACTCCCCACAGAGCCCCCCAGGAGTAGCCCCCATGCCCAGGCACGGGCAGATGGATCTGCTGGTCCTCAGCACCTGGGTTCAGGGAGCCACAAGCCTAATTAAATTAAATTAAAGCCAGGAGATGCCTTTAGGGATGACCCGAATCCCATCCCCAAATTCCCAGCAAATGGACAGTGCAGGAGCCCCCCACCCAAGCAAGCTGGGTGGGCATCCCTGCAAAGCCTCATCCTCTTTCCTGGGCAGGACCTGAGGCAAGGAGGGCACACACTGCCCCCTACTCCAGT